GGTTAACTCTCTGTTCTGCATCTTTCTTAAGGGCCGCTAGGGTAGAGTCGGCAGACTGAGCTTCATTTATTCTCTGGAATAACTTAGGCTGAACAGTCAGGTGACCTAAAATATGACTCTCTTCAGGTCCTGAAGCCGCACCTACTGTGCGGCCCCTATCTGCCTGCATTCTGAAATCATCAAATGAGCTAATGTACCTGCACTTTTCCTGCTGAACGCGTCGGTTACCATGTTGCTTTTACTCGGGGGATACAAGATGTCGCAATCATAGTTCTTGAGAAGTTTTATCCATATTCTCTGACGCATGTTGAGATCCTTTTGAGTGAATATATTTTCAAACTCTTGTGATCGGTATAGATCTAAAAAGTCTCTCCATACAAATAATGGTGTCAAGTCTTCAAGGTGTGTATTATTGTGGTAAGCTCTAAGTCATGGGTGAGATAATTTTTCTCATGATTCTTTAACTATATGGACCTATAGGCTATGACCTTCTCATGTTGCATTAAAACACAACCCAAACCCAGGTATGAGGCATCACTGTAAACTGTATATCCACCCGATCCACTCGGCAAGGCCAACACAGGTGCAGTAGTCAGCTACTTCTTTAATTCTGAAAAACTTATTTCACAGTTCTCGTTGTATTCAAAATTAATATTTTTCTTTGTGAGCCGAGTCAGAGGAGCAGCTAGACTAGAAAACCCTTCCACGAACCTGCAGTAATAACCTGTCATCCCTAGAAAGCTACGGGTCTCTTTAACCGATGTCAATTTTTTCCAACTGAGCACGGCTTCTACCTTTTCGGGGTTCACTGACACTCCATTATTTAATATGATGTATCCCAGGAAGGTAGTCAATTCATGCCAGAACCCACACTTACTCAACTTTGCATACAACTTTTTTTCTCTAAGGACTTACAAAACTTGGGTCAAATTGTGAGCATGTTTCTCTCTACTTTTTGAATAAATCAAGATGTCATCGATGAACATAATAGCAAATTGATCTAGGAATTGTCTGAAAATCCTGTTCATCAAGTCCATGAAGATGGCTGGAGCATTGGTTAGTCAAAATGGCATGATTAGAAACTCATAGTGTCCGTACCTGGTTCGAAAGGCTGTCTTGGGGATGTCTTCTACCTTAATCTTTACCTGATGGTAACCTGAACGTAGGTCTATTTTAGAGAAGACCTGAGCACCCTATAACTGATCAAAGAGGTCGTCAATCCTGGGGAGAGGATACTTGTTCTTGATCATGACCCTGTTCAGACCTCTGTAATCA